CTTGAGGTCGCCCAGGCAGTTTTGATGCAATAAACTGGCTTTCTGGGCGCAGGATTTCACCACTAGATGTCAATGGTATCTGAGCTTTTGAAAGGGAAGATATTGCTAAAAGCAGGTTAGCTGCTGGAAAAGTTTGTTCTAGCTGGCAGCAGCTTTTGCTGCAGCAAACCATAGTCAACCAAGCCCTTTGCTTGGTCAAAATGGCGATATGCTCTTTGCAGAGATGCCCCCCATAAGAACCCTGCCTGCCTGTCAGTAACACATGGCTCTGGCAGTTTCTTGTCTAGTTATTTCTAGGAAATGATACCTACCTTTACCATGTTACTATCTCTCAATGCCCTCTGAAAACCTTAACATTTAGCCTAAGTCTTTCCTCATTTGCAGTTGTACAAAGCCAGACCAAGTTCTCTGGAGTCACTCAAATTGCTCTGAGGAATAAATCAAGTTAGCAAAAAGCACGAAATTAAATTTGACTGACTAAACGACATTATACTTTTCAGCAGAAACTCTTATTTAAAACTAAAGTGAATTACCTCACTTAAAATGAACTAAACCTCATCCAATAAGCACTAAACAAGGGTGTCTAAATGCATTTCAGACACGTGTGAATTTTCTTCAGATTTGCATGTTATTTTCCCCTAACAGTCCTACCCTGTTCTGCCTCTGCTATGTTGGGCTTGTTCAATTAATTCCCAGTCCTGCCTTATGCCTCTCTCTTAGCTCCTACTATCACATCGTCCTATACTTGGACTTAAAAAGTGGCCTCCAACCAGCAATGTGCCCTGAAGCTGGAGCACGTAGCTGTAGCCTCGAGCGAAGACCAAAGCTGGCAGCCGGCATCAGGCACAACAGTTTTCATCCCTGTGAGTGGAAATGAGCAGTCCTCTTCTGGCACTGCACCATGACCAGAGGTATGGTATGAACCATATTGTATGAAGCCCAGCATCAGTAGCAGATAAAACGGTTTGCAGTTATTCAGTGTTTCAAACTGGATTCAGAGAGTACATTCAGTTTTGTAGCGTAGCCAGGGACTCAGCCTGACAGGCAGACGTTTGAGCATCCAGAGTTTTCAAAATCCAACAGAAATCAATAGAAGGTCAACTTGACTTCACACAGTCTTTCTGATTGAAAGGGAGAGACACCCTTATGACAGCAGCTGGCCTTGTTTGGGTGGAAGTTTTTCCAAGGTGCTTGACGTAACTTGAAGACTTCAGACTTTTGAGGGATTTATGGCTGAAGGACTGTCACCTAGAGCTGCTGAGCCAAATTCCTCAGCAGACGCTTGTGTGTACTGCAGTCACCCCCACCGACAGGCACAATTGGCGGGGGGCAAGCCCACACAGGAGTCAGGCCCACACGGCCTCAGTAACGGCTTAATTGCTTATGAAGCAACACAAACCTTCGTCTCTCTTTACAGAGAGCTCTCACAAGCATTTGTCAAACGCCTGTGTAACTTACCAGGGAGGCGCTTGATCTGGGGTTTGATCCTCACCATCCTTTGTCATTTCTAGGTCTGAATCATCCCTATTTACATTTGCTGGTAAATTCCCCTCCAGCAAAGCACAGCTCTGCGCTTTCAAGCCATCTGTCACAGCTGACAGAACCTCTCTCAAGGGGCACCTCGCCACTTAGGTTAAATGAGTGAGTTCTGCCAGTGCCACTTCTCCCTGCTAAGTAATACTCCTGTCTAACCCATTTGCCTGTGGAGGCAGCGCCGCACTCAGCAGGGTCAATGGCAGGACTTTTCCTTTCCTTTTTTTTTTTTTTGTTTGATTGTTTTTTTGGTTTGTTTTTTGTGGTTGTTGTTGTTGCAGTGACATTTACCTCATGCCTAATTATTGCAGCTTACAAAGAGGCTATTTGCCATCGCTAACTGTTTTTTCTTTATAACCTTACCTGGAGCACCAGCAGTTGCTCTGAACCAGCTCTTGCTGCTGCGGACAGGAAAGGACTTGCACTGGTGACAGTGACAGCAGGAGACCAAGACAAAAAGCTGCAAGTTTCGGAAGCCCTGACAACTTTCTGCAAGAAAATCTGTTCGAAAGACCAGGCAACCTATAACCCATCTCCTTGCACAAACCATCATTTAAGACCCATCTATTCAAGGCAGGCTACCCCAGTGACTGTCCTTCAGTGTGGTTTAGCTCATCTGGTTCTGCTTAAAGACATCTCCATGTCTTGCTCATGTGCTTCTCTAAACTTACACCACTGAATCCACATTTTCATGCTAAAAAGGGTAAGGTAAGTTTGGTTTTCCACTCAAATTTTATTCTAAACTATGCTGATTCACTATTTCTTAGCACCCCCAGGACTGCTCTGACTCCTTACTGCAGAGATGAGAGCTGAAACCTTATGGGGAGTAACTAATGGCCCCAGGACCGTAAAGAGCACTAAAGCCAGCCCACAAAGATCTCTTGTTAGGAAACAGTCCTACTTACACACAAACGCAGCACTATTCACCTCTCCCTGCAAAGTAACAACTTAAACAGCCAAATATCCAGGTGCAATCAATCAGACCCAGGCAGAGAACACAAAGGAAGAGCTTCCCTCTCACCTGCTGGGTTTATGTGACCTCCTGAATGGCTCTTCTCTTTCCTGACCCCAAAATGAGGTTTTTCCTGGGTTTTAACTGCCTGGTTTCTCTAGGATTGTTGTGTTTTTCCTAATGGGGAGGCAAGGACAAGGATTCCCTCTACCCTGAGGATTCCCCCTGGGGAAGTGTGACTTGGAAAGGGTCAGCAGCACCCTTCAGAGCAAAGGAAGCTTTCTAAGGCTTTCAAGATGATGCCCTTTTCCCTCCTCCCATAGTCGCCTGGGATAGGAAAGAGATGGAAAAAAACATGCTGAAGCCCAGCCAGTTTCCAAAATGCACGGATTTGCAAAGATCTTGGGGCCTCTGCAAGTAAGTGGCAGTACGGGCCTCCTGGGGAGACAACCAGCTGCAACTGCTTACCGCTGTCAATGGGCAGTGAAAATTAAAATTGAGCAGACTGTGTCATTGCCATTCTTTGACCTCTTGAAAGCTCTGAAGCTGGGCTGCTGCTCAAGCTCACTTTTGCTAGGCTTTCTGGACCATTACAAGGGACTTAGGAAATCCACTGTCCTTCTTCCAGACAAGAGGGAATGCAGAAGAGAACACTCCTCCCCTTGCTTCAAAAACTGTTCATTTGGCCCACCTTTGAAGGCCTCCTCAGTTCTCCATATTTTATTAACTGCACTATTCTATTAATTCCGATACAACTACAGGTATTTCATGGTATTATTGTAGCCACGCATGCAGGGTGCCGTCACACAACTCTCCAGTGTGAAACGGTGGTCATTGTAGGGGTAGACAGCACTTAGAGCCAGAAGAAGACTTACCTTCTTTGGGTTTTGGCTGCCACCCCCATGGCAGAAGAGAGCAGGACTCCAGGGCAGATGCTCTGTGTCACATGAAAGCCCGCTGGGATGTGAAACACAGCAAATATTCGGGAAGTTTGTTTTTCAGGCTGAGTGGTTTTTTTTCCACTGAGAAGATGGAATCACCTCTACCTCTATAGGGTAGAGCAGTTGTCCCCATGCAGGTCAGTCCCGTTCTGCGCAGAGGGCTGTGCTGGCCCCAGAGCAAACTGCCCCCACCTGCTGCCTCTCACCTTCACACAGCTCCTGCAGGAACGGCTCGTCACAGGCCTCTCTAATCACTTCAGTTAAAATTCACGGAGTCCGTTGAGCAGCTTAAATTGCAGGTCTTTGCCAATAAAGCTCTTTCTGGTTGACAGGAATAGAGGAGCCCTTGTCTGAATAGCTCAGCAGGATGATCTGAAGGGACAACATCTGCAGTGCAGCAGCCTCTTCCTGTGGCTCTTCTAGCACAGCTGGAGCTGTAAGGTAGCTATCCTCTGCTCTACACTTTCCCATTTGCAAATCATCTTAAAGGTATCATCACTCTAGCTTCTTGTGACAACCTTCCAGCAAGGCTGATGGATGGAAGGAGGGCCCTTTGGTGCAAAGTTAGCTGCTTGCATGCAGCCACATGTGGCTTGAAGTAATCCAGCTGACTAACTACAACAGGTTAGGAGATACTCCCCAGGTCTCCTTCTGTGGGGAGCAATGATCTCCAATGAAGGGACAGTGATGAACAGCTGGGACCATAAATTCTTCAGCTTGCACAGCTGGATCTGGAAAAGGATGTCTGGCTGTAAAGTATCTTTAAACATCATTATAGAGCTGTGTCAACAATTTGGGCTTGTATTGTTTTAATTATTACAGTTAAAATTCACCCTACCTGTATATTAACACTGGCACAAACATTTTGTAAGTCAGGCCTAAGACCATTTAAGGTACAGGCACTTAGAGGATTAAGTACTGCCTATTTGTAAAGCACTTTGAACAGACATCACACTGTAAGTACCAAGTGTTATTTCTGTGTGAAATAGCCATGTTTGGCTTAGTGGTTCCCAGGGCTTGCAAGTGGAAAGGGTGGAAGGACAGGACAAGCCTCAGCTGCATTACAGCGCACTCGCAGCCCATCATGGGCTCTGCCTTCCCTGCTGCAGACCAGCCGAGGAGGGAGAGGAAACCACACCGGCAGGGATGCCTGATGAAAGGGGAAAGCATTGGCTGTCCACAGTAAGAGGATCAAGTGCCGATAAGCAGACTCCAGAGGATATGAAGATAGATCTACTCCTCCCTTCTCCCGCAGGGACTTCTCATGGTGGCTCCAGGCCCCTCTTAGACTGCGCCGTGATGATAGGGCACAGCTGAGACCCCATTAACGTAATCTCTGCTTCTGAAACTGCCTGGAATACGTCGGTACCAGCAAATCCCACCAACCAGAGATGAACCAGCAGCTCTGAACAGGGTCAGGCTCCTGAGCCTCTAACCAGGCGCACGCTGGTCTGCATCCACCTTGCAAACACAGCGAGTGTTTGTGGAACTGAATGACTGGACGTATGAGCGTAAAATATTCCAGTTAGGAACAACAAGTACGTGTGATAGGCATGAAGGCACAGAGCCCAGACTTCATTAAGGTAGTTTTTATATTTTGAAAAGCAATATTAAAAAACACTGGAAAATGCAAGATAAATGTAACAGTTGCTTCTACAAGTTGTAACCTTGTATTGCTTGGCCATTTTGACATATAAATTATTGCTTACTAGCTCTCATAAATACACAACACAATAATATGTACAGAGGCAGACAAGCATGAAATATGAAAAGGAAAACATTGGCAACATTGATTCTGGTAAATCAGATTATTTCATACATACCAGGTCTCATAATGGTGGATAACTACTAGCTGTAGTCCCTGAGAAGTTAGGTAAATACCTTGATTTGGGGTTTTCTATTTTATTACTTTTAATGCAAGCTGACAGCATTATAGTACTCAGAGAGAATGGAACAGGCAGGTGTTCTTACCTCAGCTCATTGACTTCATCCCAGTATTTCTTAATAGTGTAATAAGATGACAATAAATAGGCTATGCAAATAAATATTACTCTGCTAAAATGTTTAGTATTTACACCTTTCTTTGTAATTTTACAGCAGCACGTCTTATTATTTCTGATAACATCTTTTTCTTTTTGCCACTGTCATGCAAATGCAATTTATTTCTATCTGAGACGGGGCTGGAATCAAAAAGAAGTGTCATAGAAGCATCTAAAATTGATGCAACAAAATCCCACATCAAAGAGGTATAAAGCGACCCAGCTTTTTCTTTCGTTCTGTCTAATTACTCCTTCTAGCTACTAAGGAAAATATGCAGAGTATTTAACCCCAGGTGTGATTGTGATGAACTGAACTTAAAATGGATTTTATCCTATGTAACATAGTTGCGCTATTGAAGGATTTAAAAATCACACAATATCACCAGTGCTGGACCCTGGCAGAGGCTGTGTAGTGTCCGCCTCTCTTTCGCAGGGTTTGTTTCTAGTTCCCCTCCCAACCACCACACCTTCAAGCTGCTTGCCAATCTGCAGCCCAGCTCTGCAATGCTTCACCTGTTGAATGCAGACTCTGATGGGCCTTTTTTTATTAGATATATTAGCTACAGATTTGGACTATTTGCCTTTCCTTTATGGTAACAGCTATAATATCCGTATTTTCAATGTGAAATTGGTGCATCCAAGTTGGGCCCTCAGACCAGAAAGTTATATCCAAATTATACAGGCCACTATGAAAACTAGTTTGTAAAGTTTTAAACAGCAGTCTAATTAGCCACTACACAGATAATGAGGTTAATGCTGGCATAATGAGTTTATGCCAGCTGGAAGGGGTAGACAACACTTGATTTAGTATAAAGTTACAGCAGTGTGGATAGCAAATACCTTAGCTGGCTTGAAGCCTAGCGGTACAAGTTAACCCATCCATCTACTTTCAACCAGTTTGAATTGGCAGAGGGAGGAGCCTTCAAGGTGGCTCTAGCATGCTTTCAAATCAAAGCCTGAGCGTAGAGTCATCTTTCTACTTCTGTTTTCTTTTTTCTTTCTTTTTTCTCCCCTTCTTTCATTTCCTTGTCTTTTACTCCTCTCTGGCACCGCTGCTGCTTCATCAGCAGTAACTACCAAAACAGCCAAATGCAGTGAACTGAGAAACAGGCCCACTCTCTTACCGTGAACACCTTCTCGTGCTCCCTCTCCCACAGATTTCGAGAGAACAACTTGTGGACTAGAGTGTTACACTATATGAGCTAAAGCATGCAGGCTGGTCTACATACAGGCTCCTAAAAATAATGACACAGTAAAAAGATTTCACAAGGGGGAGCTCAAAAACCAGCAAACCACCCAGGTAATGCATCTAGGGTGGGGATTCGGTGAGCGCTGCAGCCAGAGGAAGAACTGCAGTAACACAAGCAGCAAATTGTATCTGGTTTGTGTTCTTGCACTGCAAAAAGGAGCCCACCGCAGCTAGTATCCTCATCTGAACAGTTTTGGTCTGTTTGCACAAAAGAGTTATTTACAATATGTGCAGTCACATCTACAGAAGAACATAGGAAATTTTTACTCCATGGCCAGCAAGAGTTTATTTTTTTTCTTTTTACTGGGTAAAAAGACAAATTTTTTTTTCTAAAAAAAAAAAACAAACAAAAACCATATAGTATTTGATAATAACAAAGTACAAGCAAATACATTTCTGAAACATCTGTTTCCTTTACAATAGATCTATACAATATTTCACAGATGGGAAAACCGAATGCATTCTACAGATTCCCCCACAGACTACTTGTTAAAGCTGCTTTTTTTTAATCCCTTTAAACCAGAGATAATACAATGATGAAGAGCATGCTACTTCAGTATTCCCACATTTCCGTTAAGGAGCATTTTCTTGGAAGTCCTCCTCGTGTGGAAAACATACAATAGAGATGGGAAAGCAATGCAATGTCCTCCCTGCTCTGCCAACCGGACCGTTGCCGTGAGTCAGTGTACAAACTCATGCCAGACTGCGTAGCACACTGCACATTGCCTGTGGCATTCACTAGATTATTTCAGGGCAACTTCTTAGCGATGAAAACCAGAGCTACTGTGATGGTGGTGCTTAGATGTAGGTTAACTGTAGACAAGACTTTAGAAATGCTGCCTCAGTACATGCCCAGAAGTAGTACTTTTAGCTACATGGGAATTGGCTAGGGGAGGGGTGTGAGAGGGACAGAAGCAGTAACGGGACCCTGATACTGAGAAGCCGGTGTGTATGCAGGTAATTACACCGGTACCCTCTAAGGTGTACCCTTTTGTTCTTTAAAAACTAGAAGCGTGTGCAAATTAGGTGAAGTTTTACCTGCTGAAACAGCATTTCCAGGAGGTGAGTTAGGAATGTAGGTGGATCTAGGCATTGCCTCTGAATAGACACCAAGGAGGCTGTAATCCAAGCAGAAAACAAAGCTCCTGCTGTAATAATTTATAACGTGTTAACTGCAGGAGCTGGTGCTAAATCTGAGATAACTGAAAAGGAAGAAAATAACATGTTTTCAGTGTACAAACAATTGCGTCCATAAATTGTAACAAAAGTGGATTGGCTCTTACAGTGTGTTTTATAAAGCAGATTCTTAAGGGGCCATAACAGCATGAACTGTTTACTGCTGACTTCCACATCACGACGCGCTCCTGAGTTTCATCTCGTGCGCTGTCTTTTTATATTCCCATTCCTGGTTGTCCACACTTATCTCAAATAAGATGCTCCAGTAGACTCAGGGGAGCTGCACGGATTGCACAGTATTTTTGGCAACAATACTTTGGCAGCCTTGAATTAGTGAGGTACATGCTGTGGTGAACCGAGAATCAATCCCCTTGTGGCATGTTGCTTGCCGAAATGTTTTGCTGCCGTGAGACGACGTTTCCTTTCATTCTAATACTGGCAGAATCTGCATTGAAAGCTACGCTGGACCAAACAATATTTTCACAGAAACCAAGCACCTGAGCTCAAAGGACGCTGCTCTGCTCCCTCCCGTCCCGGTGACCAGTGGGGATGGCACCAAGCTTGCCCTGCAACTCTGTGAGCAGCTCCTTTGCTGGCTCTTGCCTGATTTTCCTGTGCATGTTGTGTGAGCTACTGATAAAACTCAGTAAACTGTTCTTACATAGGGAAGCAACATGCTTGGCATAAACATTCACTTAATTCAAAGTGCTGCAGTTATAAGGTTATATGAAGCTGTGTATGCTCACACTCGCGGCTCTATCCTATGAGAAAGCTCAAACAGAGCTTGCTGGTTGTCAATGACGTGCAGGTGATGGACGTATGGCTTCAGCTCATGATGCTCTTTTGAAGGAACTTCATTGCCTGCAAGACAGGAGAAAGGGGATGAATCAGAAAGCCATGCCTTGCCTGCTTCTCTGTCCTGTGCGTTACAAAGTCCCTGGTGTGCCAACCTGCCAGGTGCTAGGCAGTCACAAAGAAGACGGCCAGCGATCCAAAGGACTTGCTGTTGAAGTGCAATGCATGAGGTTACAGCTAGATACAGAAAAGGGGAGAAGAAAGAAAGAAAGAAGCAAGCAATGCTGGACAGCCAGTGTGCACGAAGGAGGGACAAGTGGATGGCAAGAAGCTGAGTCTTCCCAAGTGGAAGATTTACTCCTGCTGACAGTACAGACAGTCCGTCCCCTGTAAGGGTGGTTCAAGGCTTCCTTTGTGCTGCTCTGGCAGCACAATGGGACCTTGAACAGGGGTGGGCGACCCAGCCTGTAACTTTTAAACAGCCTTAACACAAATACACAAGACAGCAGGCCCCCCAGTCGTTTCCTTTGGAGCAGGTGAAAGGTGACAGTGCAGCAGACAGGTACGAAAGCTCTTCAAAGCTGCTCTGACAGGCCCCCGCGTTTTGATCTGTTATGCTTTTGATTTCTGATCTAGTAACAGAGACGAGAGTCATGCTGGTATTTTACGGGAGTTTACATGGCAAGAGGAATTAGCTGTGTAACAGACAAATTGAAGGGTGGCTCGAATAGCAGATGTTTTCTGTTACAAGCTTTACGCCTGACATTGGCTTGTGGGAACTTGCCGCCTGTGAAACCCTTTTTGCTGGCAAAACCCGCATTGCTGGTGGCCAGCAGAAGTGGAAAAGGAAAAGCTACCATGGCCACCGAGACCCATCAAGACAGGCAGAGAAAGCAACCAGATACATTTCCCACATGTTGCTGACTGCTGACAAACGAGCAAAGGTTGAAGAGCTCGGTTCTAGTCCATGTCCTCAAGGAATTTTTAATAACGTTACCATAAATTAAAAAAGAAAAAGCTCAAAATTCCCCGACCCAATCAGCTTAACTTGAACGCTCCCTCTCTCTCCTTTGTTTCATTATCATCCTTTTCTCCACGCTCTCCAGCTACATGAGAAGCTTTCCAGGAACTGACCATCCCACTTGTTTCTGAAGAGCACCGTATGATGCTGTGTAGGTAACGTGGGATGTCAATGCAGCCAGTTCTGCGTGAGGCTGCTAACGGGGCTCCCAGGTAGCTATTTTTAGGAGCTATTTCTGAGCAGCTATCTGACTTGAGAAATGTGTGAGAGAACAGGACAACGTGATAAATTTGTGTCGGGATACAGAGATGACCTTTCTGTTCTGAGGGAATAGGATCCCAGCAGCTGTGCTGAACATACTGAAAAACACTTGTATTTCTCATTAACACCTGAAATGACAAAAGCTTGAATTACGTTCTTTGTTCAGGCTGCTTTGCCCGGTTTTGGAAACACTATTATTTGTTTTCAGGATTTAGGATATAAAAGTATTATCTCCATTAAAAAGGCATTTCAGTCTTGCTTGGAACCTAACCAGTTTCTAATCCAGAAAGATTTTGGCCTGCAAGCTTAATACACGATACAGTTCATAAACAATAATAATATTCCTTGCTTAGTTTTGCTTGAACTCTTTCCTACAGTAGGACGTCTGCTGCTCTTAGGCCAATCTGAGAGTTGATGCAGTAGAAAGATTCACATTCCTGAGAGCAAAATAAGCCCACTGGAAAAGGAAACTGTCCATAAAGTCTCAATAAATATTCAGTGAACTCATTTCATGCCTAAACAAATGTAAGGGGAAAAAAAAAGTGCCTACAGGGATGTCTGTATAAGCTGCTTTTTAAATGCCAGCTTCACAATAAATCAAGTCTGTGGTAAAATAAAATAACAATCACGTACTTCAAACTACCAGATTATATGATAAATCTCAGGTATTACCCTTGGATTTATGTTACAACACTTACAAAATCACTTGGAGGAAAAAAAAAAAGCAAAAACAAGATGAAAGATTTGCAAAGAAGCTGCAAAAAAAATTCACATCATTCAAAGGAACCAATGCTACCATTTTAGAATGCCAAATATGAGACATTCTAACCTACGGAGACATGGTTTGGATTAATCAGTATTTCCTTCAGTATCTGGTTTAATAGAATAAAAACAAACGGCACGTCCTTCTCCCTCTCTTCTCTCTCTCCCTATACCAGAACAACAGAAGAACCATAATGCTGAGCAGCTTTTGTTTAAAAAAGAGACTGTACATACACAAGGTAATTCTATAGAACAGATGTTCAGCAAAGTTCTTAACAGTACCTATCATTCTACAAGGTACATGTATTTAGACACAAATTTATTATTTTTGTCGGAGTCCATGCTGACAGCTGCTGAAAATTCAGCTGGCAAAAAGAAACGATTCAAACTCTTTTTCCCCAAGGCTGCAGCACAGTTCCGAACTTCTCTTTGGAAAAGAGGTTTTAGCGGCCTCAATAAATGACGTTTAGTGTGTTTGGCTTAAAAACTCTAACCACTTCCTAAAGTAGTGTTGTGTTTGTCCCCTTCCTGTGTTTAACCTCTCTGCAGAGAAAGAGAAATGCTGAGAAGGAGAAAAACAAGGTTTCTCCTCTGTGAGCAGCAGAACAAAGCGAACTGGGGTCTTCTGGCATGGCCCTGTAGGGTTGGATTCTCTGGTGGCTAATAAGGTGGAAAGACAAAAAAAAAAGTCTTTTGTGCAGCTGAGGCACTCGTGACCATTCCCATCAGCGTAGATCCTCCAGTGTCTAAACCAGACAGAGCTCTATTTGCAGGCTTTCCCTAGCAGGGGGACTAACACAACCCCCTCTTTTCTACCTAGTCAACTACTTTCATGAAACCCACATGATCTTAGTATCTTCAAGACTTTTTGTGAAATGTCCTTAAGAACCCAAACTAAGCAAACAATTGCTCTTGGTGAAAAGCCAAGTGAAAAGCCACAATGATTAATACCATCTTTTAGCTACTGGAAGCCAAGACAGCTGTGAATCCGTTACCAAAACACATAGACTAGCAGGAGACTGAGGTAGCTCGGTTATAGCCGGGAAAGTTAGAAACAGCAGCGTACACCAGAGGCCTCCATTATTAAGTGCAGCTGGCACAGACCTTACACAGTATTTTGAAGAGGTGGTAATCTTTACAGCAAAATAATTTGTAAAAAAAATTGAAGCTGTTTCTACAAATATTTTGTAAAGTAAAACTTCATCCAGCTGTGGTTACTGCTATGTTGACCTTCCAACAATGACACCCCCTCTTGCCAATTGGTTAAATAATTGGCAACCATGTTTTGCTGCTGTAGTAAACCTGAGTAAGTAGAAAGAAAACAAAAAAACCCAAACCCTCAAGGCTGTAAATAAGTAGCAAATTCTGGCTACTCACCAAGCTGGTTATTTCTGCAATGTCTCAATGACCGAACAGTATCTGCAATCATGTGCTGCAAAGACAAGATATAAAACATCAGTGCAAAAATTTGGGATGGATTCTGTCATTAGAAAAGCCTGAAAAAAATCTCCTTGCCCTACACCATACAGCAAAAAGCAACTGTAGTAAGGTAGAAAGTGAAGACAGCAGAAGAAAGACTTTGCTCTTTGTCTTAGTGATAATATATGATGAAACACGGTTAGTCTAGAAGGTCCTTATTGATATCACACAGATTAAATGAGAACAACTCTGTAAGAGCCCATGGAAAGTGGTAATGAAAAATAGCCAAACAATTGCTTATTTTTGTTCCTGTGACTGTTATTAATCTGAAAGCCCACAGCAGGGAAGTCTTGTGGACTGAGTGGGTGCTTCTGGGTCCAACCCCTGGCTTTAATGCATTATCCAGGGCATTCGGTAGTCTGCAAACTCCTTCTGTCTCCACGTGTTGTCTAATTAGACCATAAGTCCCTTTGTGGCACAGACTACACCTTAACGTATACTTGTATGATGCCTAGCACAAATCAGGCACCAGTATCAGCTAGGCAGTTTTCTGCAGTATGATAACCAACACAAATATAACAGCCCACAGCCTAAATGCTGCAAAGCAAGCACTCTGACATCTCCACAGACACGTACCAAATAAGGCTATACTGTAGCTATACTATTTTAAGAAGAGCTGGTGCTAACAGGAATATCGGACATTCACTTAGATTAAGCAAAGGAAATAAAATGTTTAAGTTTGGTTTCTCATTCAGGCTCAGGTCTTCAACTTATGAAAACTGGGATTGTTCACTATAAATCAGTGGAACGTGCTCATTTTCACTAGATGTCGCCCATAAAGTTGTTGAGGCATTACTTTTTTCCTTTATTTGACTGCTTCTGTGGTATAAAAGTGAAAACATACTGAATGTGGCAACTCTTCACCAAATCTAGTAACTAATTTAAGCAAATTGCAGTTAGCAGCAATGATATAGTACCTCATGCAAACAGCTGATGTTCTTGTCATATCTCCCTCTTAAATAATCAGAGGCGGAAAGGATTAACTGTCTTGAGCAAAGTATGTTTAAGACCAGAATGACGTAGAACTGCTCATCTCTCAACACCCAGAGAGTGGCTTACAAGGCTCCTCCACAGCAAAGCTTATCACAAGAAAAACAGCACATTTAATGGAAGCTTCGTATTCTTTTCATCAGTTAATCAAAATAATTTTTCTTGTTACCCGATGTGCTTCATTTGCCATGAAATCATGCAATCTCTTGTGCTGATGGCCTTGCACCGATTATAATGAAGTTCTAATGAGATACCCTAGATTTCATGGTCAATAGTGTGAGTACTGGGAGAGCTACAACTTCCACCAGTGCTGCTGCTGCTGTGATGTTTTCCGGCTGATACCCTTTGAATCTGTAGATTTAGAAGAGAGATGCCATTATCACACACACTGTCATTCTTTGCTGTTTCTCCTTTGTAGTCAGTCAGTATGGGGGTCCATCCCAAGACTGGCTTCTGAAGGTGATGCCCTGGTGACGGAAGAACCTCTTTGTGTAACACTCTCTTAAAGCAGAATCCCAAATCTCCCTTCTTTAGTAGCCTAATTAGGCATTTCTCTCTGCCCATTTGCAGTTCTCTGGCATTCAACTGTAATACAGAAAACCAGCCAATTCATCTGCAAAGCCAATGTTATTTCCTGACTGTTTAAACAGGTGCTTGCACAAGTTAGTGTGATGAGTAACACACATTTCTCGTGGCCTTTCAGCCTACGGGCTACCTAGGATCATTAGCACTCCTTTAACTAAGGATAGCAAAAACTCAGGCTTGGGACTTGCACAGGTATTTGGGGGGTGGGGGTTGAGAACCTTCAGCTGCATGCACACAGTCCTTGCAGCTGAAAGCATGAGGTAAGAAGGTGTTATCTAAAATGGTAATGGCCATTGACCTGCATCAGAGTTTGCTGGAGTGTGGCTAAGACATGTCATTGGGAAGATATGGGTGATGGCTGACTGGAGAAAAAAACTGAAGCAGCCACATTTCAGTGACGCAGCTCAGTAAATACCATGGAAATACCTTGAGATGCAACAGTATAAGACCATATTTTCATTTATTCCTTCAGATTTAGTTGAGGAAGTGAGTACGGGACTAAATATTGATCAAACACTATTCTAGACTAGAGTTTACCAGACATGGAGTTAAATAAACCACTGCAATCCCTTGAACTTTTGCTAAAACCGGGCAACGTTCCTGAGACAAAAGATCATTTCATTTTCTTCTCTTTGCAAATTGTCTTCTTTATATTTTGAATTAACTTTGCCTTCACTGCAATCGCATCATGTCAAATCAAGTTCAGTCACGGTAGGATTGTTGTGGCCATGATGGTCTAAGAATATAAAAGAAGCGGGGATTGTATGAAGAGATAATATCTTTTATTAAACCAACTGATATAGTTGGAAAAAACAATGGTTCAGATTGACGAGTCCTCCTTCAGGTCAGGTGTTTAATGCAGAAATGAAATATTTTAAAATACTGATCCAAATACTAGAAGCCGTCTTTGCTTTGAAATTCGTAAGTAGAAATTCTATGCATTTATGACAGTAAGTTCCTTCCCCATAGCAGTAGTCTCCTATGGTAGGATAATTCTTTTCTTTTTCTGCAACAGCAAATTTGCAGGTGAGGTTCAGTGGCTTGATCCAAACCAAGCAGGAGTCAATGTCAATCCTAATTTTTCTCAGCAGAGGCCAGAAAGTGCTCAGCACAGTATAAAACACCAAGGAAGACATTCTTCCTTGGGATAAAGCCCTTGTAATTAGAAAAGAAACATGAACTGATATATGTGATGGTGTGTGATGCATCTTGATAGCAAGTTCGTGCCCACAGACTAAATACCTTAGCATCCAACTGAAGCTGCGTAATACATGTACTGCCTGAGTTTCCACTACACTCCTATTTAAATCTCTCCTAAGCCCCCATTTCCTAAGCCTGCACTATTGCCTGCATTCATATGTACACAGGGCTCCGGGAGACAGCATGTTCCTGAGGGCGTGATCTGACTAATAATTTGGAGGAAGTGTCAGTTTGAACAACCCTCACCCCACCACCACCACCTCAGACTCTCCCCTCCCATTTAAAATGCCCATTATCGATTTGCATGGAAAAGGTGAAATCCTGGCTCACTGAAGTCAATTAGCAAAGCTCCCACTGCCTCTGGAGACACAATGGTGACAGCAAGGATAGGAAATCTTACCAAGCAAGTCCAGCATACATTAAACATATACATGATTAAACAACAACCAAACAAACAAACTAACAAGGTCTGGCTAAAACCGGAGCGTGAATCAGATCCTACATATTCACTAAATAAATATATGGGCCAGTGGAGGGATTTTAGTAACAATTATTGTGCATCAAGGGCTAGTTTAATTTACATGTTAATTGGATGTACTTCCAAGAGGCAATGAAGAAGAACATGCTAATGAGTTTTATGCAAACACCTAAAGGTCAAACAGTTAATGGACTTGGGACAAGAAAACCTTTCATTAAATGCAAATCAGTGTTCTTGTAAACTCTGCAACAAGAAAAGGTACAGAAATCAAATAGAAAACACAAAAAGAGGACCTCAGGTTCAAAAGTCAAAGTCTACATCTGCTTGCAAGTTGAAAGGCAACGTACATTATGATAGGATGTGAAAATAAGTTCAACATCTGGTTCATGAATAACTCCATGTTTGCACGTTCATCCTCAAACAAGGGTAAACACACCGAGAAAATAGTTAAGAACAATTCACCAGGCACAGCCATCTGGACTAACAGTCCCATGGCACCTCTGGAGCAATCAGGAGAACATTTTGGTTTCTTGATCAAATACTCCAGGCCAACAAAATAAAAAAAGATAAAAATAAATAAAATTAAAAAAAAATTAAAGTTTCTCCACTCCACCATTGTTCAGATATATAAACTGTGGCTTTCAGTGCTACAAAAATGTTATCGACAAAAAAAAAAAAAAAAAAAGAAGTCAAAAAAAAAAAAAAATAAAGAAGTAATGCACATTAGACAAATCAAACCTCTATCAGCAATATCATGCCAGAGTAGATGTCATATGATGTCTAGTATAGATGTGGCCAGATACAATGTCAGTAACTGTCCTTCTACATAGAAGTTAGTATAGTAGTATTTATAGTCAGTTTAATTCATATTTCAGGCATTATTTTCTTCATCATCTAACCTAGACCAAAACTTTTACTTTCATTTAAGATCCCTGGAATTAGCATACCAGTGACAAGTGATAAACTAGAGAAACTTTTTCTTTAGTGCCTTGAGAAAAAAAGGAAACATAATTCAGAGAAAGCTGAAGCAGGAGAACTTAACTGAGGAGAAACAGTCCATGAGGTGGTGCAAAGGAACAGATCTTGCGGG